TGTGGTAAGGGATAGTGTTGTGGAGAAGGTGGTTTAGTAAAGAAATCCAGAGCTGTTATGTTTAATCCATAATCCAAAAATGAACAAAGTATGGCACATATGCAAACCTGCCAAGACGTGGCTGTCCTCCTGAACATATAGGCCAGGTAAGAAGGAGTGTTATTAATAAGAGAAGGAGCACCATGCTATTGGAGGAGCTGATGGGATCCACAGCTTAAGACGACTCTACAAATATAGTCTTTGTGAAAAGGCCAAAGAAAGAGTCCGTGTTTAAAGTCATGTTTGATGTGTACATCAATTTTATAACAACTGAAAGTAGTTACCAAGAAAGTACATAATCATTTTCCTTGGCTTCACGACAAAGTATTAGTTTGTGCGTGTCTGTTATATAAACTTTTGATATCAATATATTTGCAATAATCTGTAAATACATTGATTATTTTTTTTTTACTCAAATATTATTGCAAAGTGCCACAGATGTGACACTGCTGTTGTGCCTGCAGGAGCTCTGCTGTCAGCGGCGGTGTCATTCAAAACGCCTCGGTGGAATCCGGAGTGTGTCCTTCTCCCCAGACAGTCTGAAAGTCGTCACTACTGGCATAGGCGATGGGTCCCTCCTCTGCACTAAGACCAAGTAAAGCGCCACCCAGTACACGTGCTCATTTTGTGCACAACCGTGAACAGTAGGGGGCGTCCTTGCTTGCATAAGGAAGTCACACCTGCAGTTTGATGTAGCTTTTAATAAATGCTGCCTTTTCCATCTATGGTGCAGGATAGCAGTAAAAACAACATGACTTAAGCTCCAGCGGGGCGGTATTAAGAGGTTATAAAGAAACCATGAGCCGAAGGTCTGGAAAAACAAAGACTTACTGTAGTAAAAGTCACATTCTGGCTCTGAAAATCTTCCCACTCAGATTCCACATCTGCCTGCTCTGTCCACTCCCACAAAAACGTTAGTTTCAGATTTCAAAACATTGTGATCATAAGCACTATACTTAATATTTTAGTAATATTTTACGAGCCTCTTATTGGTTCACCAAAACATAACCAAGTTACAATGATGCATGTTTTATTAATTTAATATTAAATTACTGAATAATTTATTGAAATGTTATTCATAAAAATTAGTCTCATTATTTTTAAAGATAATTTATCATTGGTAATTATGAAGTGGTGTATTTTATTAACTGTTATACTGTAAGATGTTATAAGTATCATGTTAACTGGAGTCTGAGGTAATTGCAGTGTATACTCTAATGTAATAATATTGCATTATTGAAACTACACTAACATACTGGTCTGCTTATTTGTTTCTTGTACCTTCCTATAGAGCTGAAGATGCAGATATAGCTCATTTCAAAAGCCGCCAGATTAGGGCTCAGTCCATAAGGACCTCATTCATTTCTGAAAACCCCGTCCTGATTAACCTTCCTGTGTGGGAAGAGGAGACTCCAGTTAGCAGCAAGAAAACGGAGGAAACCGAGGTGAAACTCACTGGGTTATAATGCTTTTTATCTTTAAAGTATTATTTGGAATCAAATTATCCTTAAATTCCAGCACTACTAGTGTCTAGCACAATACTCCATCTTTATCAGTCTTTTTTTCCCCTCTATTTCTAATGATAATATGTAATGTTAGCTAATTAATTTTAAAAGTTATATATGTAATGTCCCTAATCGGACAAATATTACAAATATTTATAACCAAATTTACTACTTATGCTTTACAGTTCGGCCTTGATGCAACAGAGGAAGATGAGCATTACCTTCCCCCTGCTTCAGCCACCACGTGGTTGGAAAAAAGACATGAAGAAGTGAGTGACAAGCTCTTGTATTTGTGGTTTTGACAGGGCTGTAGACAGGGTGAAAATATGCATAGATGTTTATCTTGTTTCATAATATTCCAGGGGGTGGTTTATGAGAGGGTCCTGCTCCACCTTGTGTGTGAAAGTGATTTCAGAAAGAGCAGTTATTGTTGGCACCAAGTTGCTTTTTGCAGATGTTTGATTTATTGTTGCTTACAGAGTGGGAGAAACAAGTAATTGCAAAGGCATTAACCAGACGTTTGCACCTGTTGGCACCTTTCCATATGACAAAGGCTTGGCAAATGGATGAGCTGATAATAAATATGTGGGAGGTCTCTACTACACCTGATGTGGGGAAGGTGGAAAAGACCATTTTACCTTCATGTTTACCTTTATTTTTTAAAAACAGATTGTGAAGGAAGACAACAAAGAGCATGCAGAAACTAAGAAAGAGCTAAGAGATACCATGAAAGAGTTACGGGAGGCTGTAAGTAGGCTTTTATCATTTGCTTGGAATTACAGTTTGTCCTCACAGTTTAATAAACAGTCAACAGGAAAAAATGTCACTGCAGACAAACATAAGGAACTGTCACTGTTACTAAAATCACAACTTTAGTTTAAAAAAATCTCCCTATCATTATGCCACACGGCTTTTAGTTTTAGTTTTTTTCCCTTAATGTTTTGTTCATTTGTAATTATTAACAATTTTTTGCCACTGACACATTATAAAATAAAAGCCAATCAGGCTTTTGCCATTTTTCATTTTTCTTCATAATGTCAATTGCTGTTTCCTATTTAGGATGATTAGTTTTTTTCTTTATTCTAAGGACTATAGCACTTGAGAGAAAAATCTGCTGCAGGTTGTTTGATAGAGGTCGTAGTTTTACATCCAACAGCCTATTAATATACCTAACAGAGAATTACAAGATATCTAAATTATTACTTTGAAGCATATGTCCCAAACATTTATCAGATTTTTATTCTATTCAGTAAAGTACGTCTAAATAACTGATGTTGGTTTACGTGATAACAGTAAAAAAAAAAAAAAGAAAAGACATTCAAAGAAAAGGGTAAAAATGAAAGATTTTTCCGTATTTAACTGATTTCTGAACCCATGATATGCTGTAACTTTACAAACATCTTTTTAAAATTTCTAAACAAATCTGAATTTGGATCGAATTCTTCTCCAAAAAGACGTGTAAAATGTGCTTTTGTTTGTGGTCAGGTTCATAAAATGATGCTTGAGAATGAAAGCTTCCCAATAAAACAGTTTAACTTAGATGTGGAGGAGCAGAAGAGACTGGACGCCATGGCGGAGGAGGAAGCCCAGAAGGTATTGGAAAGCTCAAGCAAACACTACTGCCATCGACCTTAAATTATTCCTTAAAATGATCTTTTAACGTTGCTCCAATGTGCAGGTGAAGGCCGAAATTGAGCGGGATATTCTAGAAAAGCAGTACCAACGAGACGTCCTGAAGAGAGAATGCTGGGATTCTATGTTGGTCAAACCCCGGAGCATCAACGTAAAGTGGCTCAGTGGCAAGCTTTTTAATAAAGAAGACTACTTTCTTTTTTTTTTTTTAATCAATTAACTTTGAATTATGTGTGTCTGTCATCCACAGGCGTTCCACTCTAAGTTAGCTGTGCAGAACTATCCCCTCAAAGATCGAAGAGAGAAGGAGTTGGAGGACATCCGCAGGGTTCAAAATATGAGGACGATTGAAAAAGCTGCAAGCAAAGTGAATAAAACTGGTGGTTTAGATTCTGATTGACGAAGCAAAGTAATGCACATGTGATGAGTTAAAAGTAATTAGATCCATGTTTACCGTTGTGGGTGTGCAGCAGGAATGCAGCAAAATGTGATGTTTTCTGAAAGCAGTCGCAGGGAAATGTCACATTTTTTAATCTTTATTTCCTTGTGGAAATCTATTTCAGGACAAAACCATCTAAGTCTAAACAAGTTTACTTCTGAAAACACTACTGGTTGTTTGAAATCACAGTCTTTCCTCTGAACTTTCCCCACTGCAGCCCTCTTTAAATACTTGAACACACTCCAGCCCACGGCTGTTGAAATGTTTTTAGATTTATAGCCGTGTGGCTGAAAGCAGGCTGCTGCAATGATTTTCTCAACTGCAATATTCTTTGGATACGGTTTATAATCTTCTGGCCACAGATTCGGCGCTCATGTTTTGCTCCATCATTTGTTGTGCTCGCAATTTCAACCTGCAGCTGATGGCCCAGAGGAAGGACAGCAGCAAACCAGAGGAAGGCCATGTGGCAGAGAGTGCAGACAGTGAAGAACTCTCAGCTCTGTTAGCCCTTGCCAACAAATACCTCTACGACCAGTTCAGCATGCAAACTGTCGAACAGCGGGTCAACCAGATCATACTGATACAGGTGGGAACCTGTCGAATCTCTGCAAAATGGTGATTACTACTCATTTAGATTCTGATGCTTTCCAAAACCAGTGCCCAAAACACACACTCTCAAAAAAAAAAGAAAAAAAAGGACAACGGAGATATTTATTCAAGCTGTGTAAAAAGACACATAATTGTTTTTCCTCTCCGGCACTTATTCAGACTGTTTTTTTTTTTTTTTTGTTTGTTTGTTTGAAGTCAGTTAGGTAACCAAAATTAGTTACTTTTGCTAAGACCAGGATACCAAGAGTATTTTCTTTTTAAATTTTCATATATTTCTTTTGTACTTTATAGAACTGCCTTTTTAAACTGCGTGACCAAACTGTTTTGGCATACTACCACACGATTCTTCCACTCTAAGTGGCATTCTGGCATATGCTGGTTAAGGATTTGTTTACCACCGTCACCCAGAATCTTTTTCCTTTCCTTTTTGTTCTGTAGTTAATATATATTGTCTTTCTTCGAAACGCATTGATTTCTGGAAAACAGAACCTGTCTCCTTCCTGGGCTGACTAACTCTTAGACATTCACTTGTATACACACACAGTCTGGTTTCAACAAGAAGTCAAGGGTGCAGATTCGGTTTTGTTATTGTCCCGGTCTTAATTAATAATAAATTCTTTCTCTCACTTCTGAATGCAGGACTTGATTTATAGTATCAAGATGGCTTTCAACTCCGACTTCGATGCCCTGTTCAAGCGGAAACTGAAAGAGATCAAAATAGTGGACGACAGGAACAAAAACATCAGGGACATCATGCTGGAGCTGGACATCGAGGAGGAGCTGTGGGAGCCCCGCCTGGCCGACATGGAGTGGCCAGAGAGGCTGTTAATCGTGGAGGACTCTGAGGTTACTGTCCTCTTGAAATGTCCTAGCAGTGGACATGGTTCACGTAAAGTTCAACCGAGCACGAGTGAATGTGGAAGTGCTCTGTGGTTTGTTTGTTTGTTTTGTGAGCCGAGTTGTGAGCTTGTGTGTAATTATGAGACGTTGCCTTTGTCCAACTTCAGATTAAAGCGGAGAAATACCTCACCCCAGAGCAGAAAGCAGAGGAGGAGAGGCTTAGGTTGGAGAGGGAGGCCCGCCTGGCTGCACACGTACGCTGTCATGATAAACATTTTTTTGGCTTTTTTGCTAATTCTTTGCCATTGTCTACGAGTTGCACACTTTTATCCACGTTGTTCAGATTAGTGGTTTCAGTTTACGGCTGTGTGTCCGATTTAAAAATCTGTAAAGTAAATAAAATGGTAGCGATTAAAAGGTTAGTTGAGCCCTGCTGAGGGAGGGATGCTTGTCCTGTTGCAGAAAGACGACAGCAGAGAGAGAGCTCTGAAAGACATGATGGACGGAGTCCTTGAAGTGAAAAAAGTGGACATTTTAAAAGTGGTAAATATATAAATATCCTGTTCACATAAGGACATTTAAACCGAATGATTGACCAATCTAAAGCATGTCTTGCAAGATAACGCTATTTTGCCATTGCAAAACTGTGTAACGTCTTCCCTAGCTTGGTCAGTTTATTTAGAAACATTGGAGAATTATGTCTAATAGAAATGTACTTGCAACTGTGAAGGATTTCTTATTTAAAAGAAAACATCACAAGTATAAGCAATCACATCTAAATTGAAACTGATTGAATTATGTGTTAAAAACCAAGAGACAAACCTACATTGATATCTCAGTTTAAACGTTAAATCAGATTTCTCTGCAGCAGCAACAAACGTCACTGTAAATAATATTCTTCTAAGTTTTCTCCTTTGGCTAGCACTGTAAAAAAATATATATATATTTATTTATTTTTTTTAAGTTTTTACATTTGTTTCTTGAAGACAATGCCAGTAAAATCAGACCAAGCAGCATGAGGAGCCCACAGTTTGTTTTGGTTTTACTCCACAGGAAATATTTCCTCCTGAGTTTTCTTTGACCAAACCTCCCATTCAGTGGAGTGAAGAGGAGAAGAAAGTCTATAAAGAATATGAAAAGAACTTTAAAGAGCTCACAGAGGAGAAGGAGAAATATAAACGGGTAATTAAAAATAAAAGAGGGGGGGAAGGGGAATTCCATTTGTGTGTTTTTTTTTTTTTTTAGTATTTTATTACCAAAATATTAGTTGAGATCAGTGTTAAGCATGTGTGAACCTTGGCTTTGCAGGGATTGGAATTTGAGATGAAAAAGCTGCATGAAATAATCAAAGAGTCAACGGAAAAGTTTGATGAGTCACTCACAAAGCTGTTTGAGAAGAAAGTAAAGTTCATGGCTACTATATATCAGGTAACGTACATCAAACTGCAAAAAAGTGTGGTATTCATATGTATTCAGCCCTATAAATAAAGTCCAATGAAATCAATTGCTTCAAAAAACTAATCTACGGTAAATCTTAAATTATTCTTGTAGTGATGCACATACACGTGATAAAAAGTCTTCTCTCTTGTTCTGATTTGTTGTCTCGTATTGGCTTGGGCGTGTTTTACAGGAAGAGCTGAAAATCACCTATCTTGCCCAGGCGGTGCGCAAGGTGGAGGAGATGAACCGGCAAGAGCAAGAGCTCAAGCTCAAACTTGAACAACTCCTGGCACAAAAGGTTAAAAATGTTGGACACACTCATGCCGCAGGAATTTATTAATAATCAAAACTAGATTTAATTTGTAGAAATTGGCGTGTGTTCCAGTACAGCGCCTTACCGTCTCAGAACATAATTTGACAAAGTGATGCGAAGCAGCAGGTTCGTGTGTCAAGCTGACTGGCCAGAACTGCAAACTTTTTCTGACAGGTAAAGACAGAGAAAGACTTGATGGGATTCAAGGACATGGTGGAACAGTTTCAGTTCGAGTACGAGGACATTGTAGCCGAAGACAAAGTAAGCGTTCAGATAAAACACACACACAAAAAAAAAGAAAACAAAGTTTGTGTGAGAGATGAGTATATTTTTTTTTGTTTCATCACCCAAAGAATCTCGACAGCGAATTCAGGAAAGAGTTTGCTGATCTACCAAAGTATGTGACTGATCAGCTTTACAAACTGTTCAAGCGTAGACCCAGGTTTGTGACCATTTCCGCGCAGCAGTCGTTTAACGCCGGCCGTTTTCAAAGCTCGGGTTGTCACGACTGTTTCCAGAGTTCAAAGGATGAGGACGCAGTCTGTAGATGACTCCAACGTGTTCAGGCAGCACTGTCTGAACACCTCCGCTCTTGATGGACTCAGCCAAACACTCGCTGGCATGGAGGAGTCGGATGCTCCGGAAAACATGCCAAAAGGAGTGACCCAGTTTGTCTGGGAGAAATTTTGTGCTGTGCGCAAAACAAAAGTAGAGAGTGAACAAAAGGTAATACAAAGAAAAAGACACATCTACCGTCCATTTTATATTTCAGAGACGCAATATATTCACTTACTTTATTCCATGACAGTTTGTTAAATTTCTTTGCTTTACTGTTTCACAGATAAAAGTAAATGGTTTGGAGCTTGCCGAGATGCAGGCCTTCCTGCAGAGACGGTTAGATGAAGATAATGCTGCCCAAGAAGAAATTAAGCAGCATTTTGAAGAACTCCGAAGGTAGGACCCAGAACCTCTGACTGGACAATCTGTTTCACTCAGACCAGTTAAGTTGGGAAAATAAATACTGAGTTTGGAAAATAAGTATTTACTTTGGAAAAGTTAAGTATCTACTTCCAACTAGGTAAAGTATTTGCTAAATACTTTTCTAAATATTTAGATCCAAATATTTGATTTGGATCTAAATATTTAGTGTTCAAACTAAACTAAATGTTGAGCTCAAATTTAAATATTTTGTTGGGAACTAAACATTTAGTTTATAACTAAATACTTAGCTTCTTACACAAATTTTTAATTTGAAAGCTAAATGTTCATAAATGTGTGAATAAGATGGCAAAAATATGACTTTGAAAAAAATAAACACCCACTTTTTTTCTCTCTGACAGACTAAATAAACAAAAAAAATTGCCGTTTTTTTTTTTTTTTTTACTGGCACCCCACCAGAAATGCTTGAAAATGGATGAGGACAATAAGTGAGAAAAATGTTGTCGATAACGCTGTGGTGGTTTCTGATGTCATGTTTCTGCAGCCTGAGGACCAAGAGGAACCAGCATCTCATGAACCCTATGATCCTGGTTGTCCTGCCACAGGGACAGGTGGAGACGTCCTCCGTGGATCTGACAGCTGAAACGGCTGAGACTGACTACATCCTTATCAACAGAAGTGTGGTGGACAACCTCAAAGAGAAAATCAGGGTCTGTCTTTACCGTCAAACGTCTTTTTCAGACATTTTCATATCAAAATGGGGATGAGAAAAATGTTACTGTTAAAACAGTAATAAAACAATAAAAGTTGTCCATCAAATTCTTCTTTCCTGTGTTACCAGAGAGTTGCAGAGCAGAAGATAACCTACATGGAGGCACGCTGTGAGGTCCGTAAGGACATCATCCAGCTGGAGTGGCAGCACCGGGTGTTGGACAAGAAGATAGAGGACTTGCATGAAAAGAAGAGAGAACTCAAGATGCTTCGACTCTCAAAGGATGACATGGAAGTAATCTAGTTTGTAATCATAACTCTGCTTTTGACGTTCTGGGAAACTGTGATTTGCTCTTTGACGACGACTGGAATTTTTTTTCCTGCCGCGTTAATTATATGTCAGAGGTTTTCAGAGGATTCAGCATCAGGTTTAAATAATAATGCGAAGGAAAAAAAAGAGGGGGAAAAAAAAAAATCTACATATGGGGTAAAACATTAATCCAGTGTGCGTGTCTGGCCAAATTCCTCTCCGTGTTATCCAGGCAGGTATTTTGGTTTTGGCACGGTGAGATGTTTTGCAAGCAGAAAATTGTTACCATCTCCCAGCACAGATGGATTATCTTTTATAGAAACCTCACACCCTCTTTCTTCAGCCTCCCCACCCTTTTCGCCTTTTCAGCATTTAAACCTCTTATTCAAGACGTCGTGTGTGGATGGAGGTTTTTACATCCCCTCCTCTTCCAAATGCACTTTTATTTAGCTCAGTCCTAAAATTTTAAGCAAGAAATTCTTCGCGTCCTTTTCTTTCCCCAAGAGTTTAAACCAGAAACGTGCAGTTTAATTAAATTCATGCCAAACCACTGACATGATAATTGTTTACTCTAGAATAGCCGTGTACCCTTGTTGTACTAAAACAATAGATTTCACTAGTATTTTTAAACCTAGATTAGATTTTGGAACAGAAAACAGATCAACTAAATTATCCGTTATAGTTTAACAAAACATCGCAAGTGAATTTCCTCACTCTAATGCCAGTTTCCTTTGGCAGAAGAAGGTTCATGTTGCTCTGTCGCTGGTAGCTTCCTGACATTGTTAAAGCCCATAACACCATGCAGGAAGAAAGCTGTGAATATAAATAATCCATTCTTGTCATTAAAAATATTTCCTGATTAAAGATGTTGGGACATTAGCTTGGACGTTTTCAATCTAAATTTAGAGAACACACCATTTGTAGTTCATTTGTACAAATTAACCGTCTCCTTTTTTTTTTTTTTTTTTTTCCTAGTGTCTCAGCAAGAAGGATCCGAACAGTCACGTGTTGGAGAAAATTTCGAAGATGGAGAAAAGTATTGATTTCATGAAACAGGTAACCTGAACGTGTCTTAGCACAACGTTTAAAGTTTGAACCACAAAAGCCAGCAACATCTTATGCGTAATGCACGCCGCTCTCAATTTCAGACCCATAAAAGGGCCATTCACCGGCGAATGAAAAAGTTAAAACAGATTAACAAAAAGATATCAATGACAGCAGACAGCACTGATGGTATAAAGAAGAATCTTCCTGAGATGGAGACTTCTGTGGCAGAGCTGAGACATATTTACGAAGCCGCAGGTAAATGAAAACAGATCTACAGACACATCTCAATAACCTAGAATATCATTGAAATGTATGTATGATTGACTACGTGCAAAACAGCATAAATAGAGTGCAGCATGGAGGCACTGCTGAATCCCCCTGAATTGCTAAAATGGGCTTTGCTTCACCAACTTATTCAACTTTCCATTCAACTTCAATTAATCAGTCAAGTTTAACGCAACACTGTCAAAAACCAATGTTTTTAGCCATGATCTTTAGGCTTGTCATACTTGTGGTGAGTGTTAATAACTGCTGTACGTACATCTGTCAAGTCAGCAGTCTTGCTCGTGACTGTGTAGTTCCTAACATGGCCATATTATAACAAATCTGTATGTAAAGTATAGTTTTATCGATCTTATGTGACGTTGGAATTTGGGTTTTCATTATCCTGACATTGCAGTTTAATTAAATTCATAATCAACATAATCACCAATTAATCAATCAAGTCAACAAAATAGGTTCTTGAAATGTATCAGTTTGTAGAAAGGGAATCTATAAAAATATGTAAATTTTAGTTTTTGAACAGATCAATGCATTCTTTGATGATATTCTGACTTACTGAGTTGACCATTAACTAATTTACTCTGCAAAAGGGACTTTCCTCCCATTTCAGTTGTTAATGAGGCTCTTTTGGCGTTTCAGCTACCGAGGAAAATGAGGCAGCGGAAAGAGACGAGCGCTACCAGGAGATTGTTCATAGGCGCAAACTGGAGGACCTCGCTAGGGCTAAGTCGGACGAACTGGACCTCCTCCGGAAGGAAGTTGAGCGTCTGGAAAGGAGGAATTTTCCCTCACTCGATCAGATGAAATACAACTAGCGCCCAACCCTAGTTGTATTTGAGTTGTAGCTTATTGTAACGAGCTTGGAAGTGCCTGAAAATTACACATGTTCGCGATGTTGAGACATTTGTCGTGTTTATGTGTCGTTCTAACCATTTCTCACTTGTATTGCGTCAAGGCACAGTTGCCTTTGTGCTATCTGTTACCACATAGTTTATTTATTCATACACTGATTTGCTAACAGAATATTTAGTGTTATTTTTGCTGCGAACAAGAGCAAGCACCAACAATAAATAAGATGAATTGTGTTAACTCTTTTCTGTCGTCCTCGCTGGACTTAAGATACTTCTTCTGGCGTTACGTAGTGAAGTCTCCCTCTGCACGGTCAAAGCACAGAATGCTATCATCCAGACCAAAGAGGTCAATGAGCTCGGACAGGTCGGCCTTCCTTCCGTCTACGAGGAACTCTGACTGGAGCTCATACAGAGCAGCCTGTGCACAACTGCGCCACTTGTCAATCAACGTTTGGAGATGCGTCAAATCATTCTGAGGAGAAAGACACATATATTGCCTTTTTCAGCCTTACGTGATAAACTTGGCAAAGATATTTGATGGCTTTACTGATACCTTGCTTCTGTACATTTTCACCATCTTGAGCCGACGCAGTGTCTCCGTTTTCTCCTTTACTTCCTTCCTCAGCTGCAGAGCAAAGTCTCCTGAGGAGATGTGTGATGGTTGGGGAGCAAGTGAGGGCAACCTCTCACTGCCCAGCTTCACTTCAGTCCCGTTTGCATCCATAGTGTGGACAGCGATAGTCTCCTGGGACTCTGCTGGAGCATGTGGGGCTTCCTCCTCCTCCTCCTCATTGTCAACACAAAGGCGCTTGGCCACAGAAAGGGGTGAGATGAAGGAGCGCCGTGTTCTCTTCAGCCTCTCCCTTAGGGAGGCACTTAGCCCAGAGTGATGCTGGGGAGTGGGAATCACACCAAACGATACAGGTAAATGATAATTAAGCATGGATAACAGCATGTACTGGGTTTGTACAAAATGTCACAGAATTTCCTCAGACATGGAGACTAAACGGAAGAATAGATGGACAAACAGATGAGTGAACGTATAACACAGATCGATAGATAGATAGATTTGAATCAGACATGGAAAACAAATACTTTCCAAAATTATTATTTTCCATATTTATCCACACCAGAAAAAAAACACCTTTAATTCTTTACTTTTTCAGACTTTAAGAGACTGAAAATTTGTTTTTTGACTCCAAGTTGCGTCAAGCGTAAAGTGACGCATTTAATAAAAGTCAAAAACAATACTCACCTTCTCTTCTTTAAACTCAGAGGGGCTTGACTCGACTGAACCAGGTGATGAATACCCACATGACAGTTTGGCTGCTTTCGGTGTGATCTCCATCTCCACACTCCTATGAACTCTTTCTCCGATGCAGTACAACAAGTCAGTTGCGTTTGCAACACTAAGTTTGCGAGTTAAAGCTTTTATATATATATATATATAAAGTTTTTTAAAAACAAAAAATCAACTGAATAGGACTTACTTTTTAACACCCACCGAAGACGACTCTATTTTTCCGTATTTTTGTGGGGAACTGCCTTCAACGTAAGTGATTGGACAGAATTTGATTACGGTCAGCCGAACAGCATCCTGGGAGTTGTAGTTTATTCTAACGATCTTAGAAGTACCTGAAAATTACACGTGTTCGCGGGTTTTCTGAGTCTTTTGTTGTGCTTACATGTCATTCTAATCATTTCTCACTTGTACTGCGTTAAGTCACAGCTGCCTTTGTGTTATTTGTTACCACCTAGAATGCAAACTAGCCCGTTTTAGGGCTTTTTGACCTCTAAACTCTGTTTTGTTTCAGCTTCAGATCAAATTTTAGACCTAAACCACTCAAAAATGATTATTAGATCTTATCTTGTTCTGTTTTACAAGTTTTTACTTTTTGTGCACTGGCTGCACTGCTACCACTAACTTTTTTAGTCAGGTGCAGTGCCATAATATTTAGGTCCCTCCATTTTTTTTTATTTTTTTATTATGATTTATTTCAGATTTTAATACTACAATGAGTCATACTTGAAACAGTACTTGAAGAATAAACACAAAACAAAAACCAAAAGTAAAATAAAGCACACAGAAAAACAGCAATTATTTTTATAAGTAGGTGGATAAAAAGTAGGTAGCTAAAAAAAATAAATAAATAATCAAACTAACAGAGGTTACAGAAAATAAATAAATTGTAAATTAAACGGAAAACAAATAAAACCGGGTGGGCTTAATGTATTCTGTGCTACAGTCATTGTTGTAATATTCCAATTTTTTATACCTCTTTTGCTGCTCTTTTTTATGTTGAAAAGTGCAGACACCTTTGGAAAAAATTACCCCCTTGCAAGTTACCTGGACCGTTTGCTGTCCCATCAAAGACTAACAAAAGACATAAATACTATATTTGATCAATTTCAGAGATATCCTTTAAAAAGGCATCTATTTTGAATTTGTATTTTACTTTGTATAAACTTATGTTATAAATTGTTGTCATCAATATAACTAGTCTAAAAATTCAAAAGTTAATAGAAACTGATATTTTCTTCTTCTAAATAAAGACCTAAATTAAGATGTGTGGGATTTGAGTAGTAAAAAAAGAGTATCAGTATTAGTAAAGACACACAAAAACAAAAACATGTGGTTTCTCTGTTACAGCTTCATTAAGGGCAGTAAAGTTACAGAATGCCCCACGGGTTCACAGTTTTGTTTAAATATGAGGTCAGTGTTAAATAGAGCCTTTCTTGAGGGATAAACAGAGGAACTCTGACGGTTACGCTGAGCTCTGAGTAAAAGTGATTTATCTGGGCTCTCGTATGTGTCTGGTCCATGTTGATCTGGTTGCTGGGTCTGAGTCACTTTGTTCTCATTTGCTGATTCACGTCCTTTAACAGACCTATTTATAAACTCCTAAATGTAAGTCAGAAGTCTTTTCACACTTCCACTCTGTGAAAAGACGCCACGAGGAGCGTAATAATGTTAAATACGAGGCTGCCTGGACTTGATTCTCAGTGCTTGGAAATGTGATATTACACACCCTGAGGAAGAGGGATTTTTTTTCTTACATTTTATATGGATGAATCTTGCAGGGCTGAGGGTTGGAAATAATTACTATGCGTTAGTCAAGGCTCTAGAGTGTGCTCTCTTTTTTTTGTCATTCACAGTAGAGATAAAATAGTTTGGTTGCTCTCCAGTAAGATACATGAATCAACTGGTATGAGATTGTAGAATCTGGATTCTATGTGAAACACCCAGTGAGCCAAATCTTTCAACAAACACACAAATGGCTACTTATTAAGTACATATGTTTGCACAAACTATTAACTCTTGTTAATGTTTATGTAGCTTAGTGTTAGGAAACTACCTTTAAGTTAAACAGAACGTTGGGGAATCAAAGATCCAGTTTTCATGGCTCTTTTTTTTTTTTTTTCTTTTTGTCCCACTCAGTTTTTGTTTTGCTGAAAATCTGTTTTGTGTTTTGGGTTACTTTGATTTCCAGTCAATGTGCTGCATTGTCTTCTTAAGATCTCCCTGTAATTTGATGTGACTCATCTGTTAACACTTTCTCATACAGACACAGCAAAATTACCTGACAGCACCAGATGTTTTCACCTCAAGAAACACCTTGAGAGATGCAGAGAGCCGGAAACATTTTAGGCTACATGGAGTTTGTTGTAGCTGATATTTCTTCTCACGGCAGACATGTTGACATGCCACTGATGAGAAAACGACAGGTGTCATTAATGAAATAAATAAAGTTCCTGTCAGCAGGGAGCTCCTCCACAAATAGCCGTATACTTCATGCTTCCTTTCCTTGTCTTGATAGATGAGAGAGGTCTGCTGTTGAAACGTGCTTTAAATTTGGTCCAACGGTTGTTTTGAAACAGTTGTTTTACATTAATCTTCATAACTGTTGTGGTAAATACAGACCCTCATTTTGGATAAAAGAAAAAATAAATTACTCTGATCAATATATTCAAACTTGTACTTCTTTTACATATTTTAAGTCTACTAAGAAAGCACAGGTGCTCTTTTTTTTTTGCTTAATTTCTTTAGATCATCAAAAGTAAATTATTATTGTTGTTTGACATTTAATAAATCTATTGGTTGTTTTCACTTCAAACCAATTACAATATGTTAACTGTCATGACAGGGCTTGAAAAACAAACTGGAGGTTTCAAACTGTTTGCATCAATTAAGAGCACCCAAAGGCCTCATATCATGATGATCACAAAGTGCCTGATTATAGACCAATAAAACGAGCCGATAGCAGTGGAGGACACCGTCGAAAATTCCCACCGAGTGATGTCATAACGTTTGAAACAGTGAACTAAGGCGTCAGTACATAATATAATGTCCGCCCTCGGATAGCAAATTCATTTGTAATTTGACTTCACGAAGTGAAAACTTACATGGCAGCTTACCTGGGGATAAGGAGGAAGTCACGAGAACTTCTGTCTAAGAGCGGCAGCTTGGAGATCTAACAGACCGGCACACTGTTGAAGATTTTTCAAGTGTGCCTATGTTTTCCAGCAACACATGGAACAGTGAATATTGATTCAACATGATCTTTGTTTGTGCAGTGGTATCTCTATCAGCAGATAATTTGTGTGGACACATAAAAAAGTAAAAGACCCATAAAGGGAGCTGTTTTTTTATGTGATGCATTTTATGGCCACGAAACAGTCTCTGTTCGAGCTGTAGCAAGAACTGTTACATCCTGTACTGTTAGGTTTTTGTTTGTAGTTGAAAAGGTGATAGCTCCCAAAGACGTTTTATTAGGTAGAAAACAATTAATATTCTGTGTACAACAATAGTCCATCAGCAGTCAAAAGTCTTTTTCCATATATGGTTTCAAGAGACATGCTCGTTTGTTCTCAAAAAGTACTTTAAAAATCACTAATCTCCGAGCATTATTGTGAAATAATGCTAAATATAATTTACTTACTTTTCAGTCTTTTAAAATCAATAGGTTGCATCACTCCAAGATAAAATAATCAGCCCTTCAAAGGTGTTAAGTTACATTAGACAAGAACATCAATGGCAGTCCTCTGAACTGAGCAACAGCATATTTAAGTTTTTCTTGTCAGATAAAGCGACGGTTTCGTATCGAGACAGATAAGCAACAGATAAGCTCCTCTCTCCAGAATGTGCCTGCATGTTCTCTGAGCCAAGTATCCAGTGCCGCACTGGAATGTTTTTTTTTTTCATCACAGTTGAGTGGTTTAAAAGTTCAGCTCAGAGCAGAACCAGTCATTATCTCTTTAGATATCCAAAAACCTCCGAAATTAAGGTGACCATAAAATTATCTCTCTCTTTTTGCTTTTTTGTCAACTACATAAGACAGACTTTAAATAATTAGAGCAACAGTTTCTTTGTTACCTTGCAAATGAATGATAGTTTAAACATTCCTTTCAAAATCAGTATGGATGCCAAGCCCATGTGACACAGAGGCTTTTTTTTTTTCTACCACTTGGGTAACAGTGAATAATGTCACATTATTTTCCATGTTTAGGTCTTTTGTCGAACCTCTGGAAAACACTGCTGTCTTGCTCTGCAAACGTACCAAAGCTGCATCCTGCAGGTCTTTCACACAAAAAGGAGTGTATCTGAAAAGAGGCATCCCTGTTTAGTCAGCTCTGCTTTTTTTTTCCCCTTTTTGTCCCACCATCCTGGAATTTGTTGCTTTCTGCTAAAGGAACTGGCATTGTCCAAGCTCGCACATGGATGTGAGCGGGGCAGCTCCTCTCCATGGGGCCATTTGTTTTCAATCATTTGAGCAGATTAGAGTCTTACTGGCTCTGAGTCATGCCTGGTGGGTGGATTGCTTCGCTGGGTGTGGTGGTTGGAGGGAACCTGTGGAAGTCTGTGGCTGCCACTGGAGGAATAAAGCATCTAATTTGGTGCCAAACGGCATCAATGTAAATTAGCAGACTGGGAATGCGTATTCTGATTACAGAGTTAAAAACAGCCCTTGTGTCCTCTCATTTGGGAATGCTCGTGATGTGAGAAACAGTCCATGCTGCAGCTTCTGAAGAGTATCATAATTGTCGCATGAAAAGTGTCAGACCTCCCGAACAGAAGTGCAAACAGGAAGACAGTCCCTGCAAAAGCTGAAAACATGAAGAGCTTTCACTGACAATAGCGCGTAAGAGAATTAACGCCCTCTGAACTCACCTGCATTTTACTACGTTACGACCACAGACTTCCATGTGGCTTATTGTAACTCTATGTGACAGAGCAACACAAAGTAGAAAATAATTATGAAGAGAAAGGAAACCGAATTTTCAGCAAAAAAAAAAGAAAAAATCTGAAAAGTATGGCAGGCATTTGTACTCAGCCTCTTTTTACTCATACACCATAAAGACAAAACAAGAGCAAACAATTATCTCCAGATGAGTGAATTTATTTTTGAAAGACTCTCTGAAATTGTTTAGATGATTGTTTAGAAAGATTATTGTTCAAGTGTTGTTTTTAATCTCAGCCTTTATGGAAGGAGAAATTAACTGGGGGCGGGGGGGCATATGAAACGCCAAGTCTCAGCTACTGAGTCAAGTTTCTCACAAAGATCCTATGTCAAAAAAAAGTGGGGGACTATGAGCTGGTGAGGAATTATTCAGTTCCCTTTTTAAATAAAAAAAAATAGGTGAAAGCAGAAGGACACAATATTCTTAAAAAAAACATACACACAAAAAAATCACTATGGGGAACATGCTTTTTGGCATTTCTTTGACGTTCGTCTACAGATTTATTAGTAAACTTACCACAAAAAGTAACACAATTTGTCTATGTCTGTTTTTCTTTGTATTTCAAGTATCCTCATTGGCAGTAAATCTTACGATTGGAGAACTTGTTTACTTCCTTCTAAAAATTTGTAAGGAAAATGCGTTTGTGGGTTGAGCTGCGAGGGTTGCGCCCATGAAAACCTTGCCAAGTCAACTTTCTGCCAGAACCAAACAACTTTTTCTGCTCCTGACTGTGGAAAGCATTGGTATTGTAATAAATAGAAGTGCTTCACAAGAGGTGACTGAATTAAGAGATCCTATCAAAACATACAACTGGTCTGTGAAGGCATCTAGAAAACATCAGTGAACAAACAGCATCAAAAAGAACAAGAAAGTAGACGTGCCAGAGATAACATAAAGCAAAGCAAAGCATTTTAAAGGATGGTAACGGTAGCATCATGCTGTTGGATGTTTTTTTCTTAGGTGTGGCCAAGCCAAAGATGCTGATCAGAAGTGATGTGTTGCAGGCTGCAGAAGATGGAGGTTCATCTTCCAACAGGAGAACCACACCAGATGTTCAGCCAGAGATGCAACGGAATAGATTAGATGAAAACATTTTGTTGTGTTGAAATGGCCCAGTCAAAGTAAAGACCTAAGTGAAATAAAAAATTGATGCTCACTGACATTCTTCATTCAAACTAACTGAGCTTGAGCTATTTTAAAAAGAAGTTTCTAGATATGCACACACCAATTTTTCGTGAAAAGTGGTTCCCAAAAGTTGTCACGTTAAGGACCTTTTAAAACCACGTACGCGCCATGTCCAATCCACGTCAGTAACGCAAAGTCCAGTGAAAACACAATGAAGTTTGACCGGTACCGAGCCGCTCACATCTGAGCGCTGTTTTTTTTTTTTTTTTTTTTTTTTTTTACCCCCCAAATTGGAGGCGTAACATGGAAAAAACATCACCCTACCACAT